GAGCGAAGTGGAATTTGTCTAGTGAGGTTGCGCTTGAGCGGTCGTGATGAAGATATGAAGCTCTTTACTATTATCTTGTCAGTTGTCTTGGTCTCGGTCTTCCCTCCCCGAGACCTTGCCAACTTCCGCGTCAAGTAAACGTCCGCTGCTAAGTGGTGATTTAGGGCCGACAGTTTGTGCGATAGTTTACGGTAAGCAGATCGGTATTGTCTATTAGGTCCTCGAGTTGTTACAATATCTTCAAAATCGAAAGTTAGTGTCTTTAGAATGGCGGCGATACCCGCCGCCGTGTTGTGTCCTTTAACCCTGACAGCAACACACTTATTATATATACTTGCGTAACACATACCGTACATACATTGTACTTATATTATAAACAAATTTGTTTTACTTAAAATTGATTCAATAAGTTGTAATCGTTGTTCTCTTTTTTTTTGTTTTACTTTCAACGTGATTTTTCCAAATAGACAGATGCACGTAAATTTGGCAGCAACTTTACTCGTCGATTTTTAAAGATTGCATTACGAGTGATTCATGTGAAAATCATATTTACCACATAAAATATAGAAGTATGAAAGAAATACGGAAGTAATTATTCAATGTACTCAAAACAATATGACATGTAAAATGTAATGTGACATCTGAGTGTGACTTTTGGTGCACGTTTTGTAGCTGCGTTAATATTACAGCAACTTTATATTATTGTATTGACGCAAATTTAATGATTAACTCTCCGCGTGCAATTATACTCTTTAGGACAATTTAGATCTGTCAAATCTGAGTAATTTTGAACCATAGCTTTGTTGAAAATCAATATTCATGATAATGATTTTATGATATAATTATGTAATTTATGATAGATGAATTTGAAAATTTAAGTGATGAATTTAATACAGCATATTTTCTGCATAAATTCAATAAAACAAGAGCCTCCATTAGCGATTGTCTCGAGTTGTGATAATGATGAAAGTCTTGAAATTTGGGTAGGTATTACTGTCAGGGTTAACTAATGTGGTGGACGATCGCTCTAAATCCCCGTGTGTGAGTGTCCTAAGGCTCATCGCTAACAGTGTAAAGACTATACGTACTTGGCTCACAAAGTTGACGCGGTACGTTTCTCTTTTTTTGCTTTTTCGTTTTTCTGCTCTTCGAGCGACATAATCGACCGCGCGTGGTCAATTATCTCTCTAAACTGTTCTAAAAACTCTGTTCTTCCTTCCCGAGGAGAAAGATCGTCTACGTTCGTAATCACCTCTGTCGCGATCCACCGATCGACGGATGGATCGGATCTTCTAAAAACGCAGCTCTGAGGTTTGCTAAAAAAATGTAATTGTCCGTCGAGTCTCTCTCTGCGAGAAATGATTACTCCTCCCCTTCTCGACACGTCGTCGGCACGCGCACGGATAGGGCTTCCACACAAAAGACACACAGATACAGATATACCGCTTCCCGGATTACAAAACGCATCCATCCTCGCTCCCGTAACGGCGACGGGTCACGTGCTCGATTCCGCGCTACCGGCTTAGCCTAGATCCAACGCTGTCGCGCCTTCGTCGAAGGTGACGAACGCCCGGGCGATTTTCACGAACGTCTCCGAGAACGACGCAGAGATTGACTCGCGTTCGCGCCGAAGATTGACGTGAGATTAATCGCTCGCGCTGTCGTTTATCGAGCCGCTGATAATCGCGTCCTTTGACCTCCTCCTGTCGCCGCTAATTTTCTCCGATTACACACACCCTCGCTATTTACCGTCCTCGCAGCGTAGGGTTCCCTCCTGTTGCTCTCCGCTATGAAATTGATATCTCGCGTATACCTATAGTAGCAGCAGCAGTAGCAAATTTAGTAGCAGTAGTATACAGCGGCAGCAGTATTAGTAGTAGTAATAGTGTTTTGAATATATATACATAGACTATTAAAAGTATTAATATACTTTTGTTATAGCAGAAGTTAGAGTATTGGCAGTGTGAGATGGAGCGAAAAAGTTGTTTTAGAGCTACTTTTTTTTCTCATTTTAGCTTAGAACGGCTGTCAAAAGTTACCATATATACATATATAATATATATATATATATATATATATATATATATAT